TATATATATATATATATATATATATATATATGATAAATTTTATAATTATTTACCATGGTTTTAAAGAAATTTTATATTCATTAAACATTTTTTTCTCAAAGTCAAAATTATCGGAAGAAAAAATTGTCCCCATTAGTTTTCTAGATCATCACTAGAAAATTAAAAAAAAAAAAATATTCAAAGAATTTAATATACATCTTACATCATCAATTGTTAATGAAGTCTAAACTAAGTAATTTGAGAACATAAAAACATACATATAGTCTAAATTCACTTCTTCTACTTTATCAGACTAGCTGCAGCTTAAAACAAACTTTTTTTTCTTTCCTGTTTTCCCCTCAAACAATTTCTAATCATTCATAAAATAAAACATTCATAGAAATAAAAAATAAATCATGCATGCATATATGCTCATTTTACATGATTATAAGATCATACAAACCCATGAAACAGCTATAGAGGCTACTTACATTGAAGTCATAACTAGAATCAGCACATGCTCCACAAACCAATAGCCCAAGTAACACAGCCAAGCCAGCAATCCTCATACCTCTATTCTTATAAACCCAGAACTAGATTTAAACAGACAATATGACAAATGAGAGAGAGAGAGGAGATAAATATATCTACATATATATATCTGTAGATATATATAAATATACAGAACCACTTGCACTTGTGGCTTTCAGTCCTTAGATGCTGTCCTCAAGAATTGAAATTTAGGGGCATTAAATTTATATAGCACAAGGATGCAGAAAGCTGTTAAATGTGAATGATCAGCAGGGTCAAAGAAGCCCATTTATCCACGCTTTTATCTCTTACAATAATATAATATTAATGAGTTCTTCTTCTCAACGCGCAAACTAGCATCAAAGTTTAAAGAAAAAACTTGTTTTGATTTGTCAAAAAAGGATTAACATTACCATAATACAAGTCATTTAGGTAGAACATTCTGAAATGATATTCTCTTGTTGATTAGTTTTTACAGCCATATGGGATTATATAATTGTATTATTAGCTGCACTTTTCTTCAAAATAAGTAGAAGTCAAATGTTGCTGTAGTTTTATATGCAAAGTACACCTAAATTTATCTCCGTGCGCACAACTTTGATCTGTACATATGGACGCGTACAATAGTTTATAGGTGGTGCATTTATGCACGCTAATGTACACACCTGCTTCTCATTTGTTTTGTTATATATTTCATAACGGAGAAAATATCACATGTCCGGTGAAACGGACGGCGGTGTGAATCACATCATGTCGTGCGTGGCCCCGTCGGGACGCATTTTCTCATAATAATGGGCAAAAATTTGCCCATTTTTAAAATTCGAATTGTGATAATTCATTTATAACTGTTTATAACGATGAAAAGTCATGTAGAGCACAATATGCAAAGTCAGACAGTTATGGAAATGCAGGGCCGTAATTAGTTAAACAAAAGGCAGGCAGGGATGTTAAGAAATCTATGGTACGTGTAGATGGTGCCTCTTGTAAGAGTTTCAACGCTGCTTTTGGGGTGGAGGTGGGAGATTGCTAGATTGTTTCGTGCTGGAGACAATGACTAAAACAAAAAAGAAAAGGTTAGAATTGTGGTGCATTATGTGACTGATTCAAATGTGGAATTGTCAAAGGATGATTGATTTTTGTAAGCAAATCATGAAAGTATTTTAAATCATACCTTCATTCATTTGCATTGATATATATAAATATATAAATGAAATTTTTTTTTAAAAACAAATGTGAATTTATATTTCTATTTTTAAAAAGGTTTAATTGCTTATTGGGTTATAATGATGTAATTTAAATCCTTAGTTTTGAACTCTATGCATTTTATAGAATTCTAAGAGATACAAAGTCAGTGTTTAAAATAATTACTTTCATAATTTTATGATTAGTAGATCATATATATCAAAATATACAATGAAGTTATGATTATGATTTTGGATTTTAATCCTTTGATGATTTTGTCACGGCTTCTAATTTAAATGTGTTATATAAAGCTTAGATACACATACACAATCATTTTGACATGATAAGCTATGTTATTTGAATAAGAAAGAAAGCCCTCTAATTACTATCTTTTCATTTGATTTTCTTATGCATTCTATATCTCGTAATTTCTATTATATTTTTGAGAATAGAAGAAGTAAATCATAAAATGTCACTTAAATTTATGTAAATGAAGAATTAACCTCCTTCTCATTCAATTACCATATATATATATATATATATATATATATATATA